TGAATGCCCGATTGTCTTCGAATAAGCAATTAGCTGAGTACAAGTTGTTTGTTTTACCAAGCTTTTGCAACAGTTGTGGGGCCCTGCATTCCAGAGAAAAGATAAGAAAAATCTTGTATGCCATTCTCTTGGTAACCAGAAGAATAAGTTACATTTCAGTTTACCATCCTAAGAACCACCTTTCACTTGCTCAGACCGTCCCAAAAATCCCTTGTATGGGTGTGAGGGGATGTACTATCTGATTACAGATTTACATGTCTATAAAGCCTTTGATGTTTGTTTTGCGAGGTGTGATTTCATCAACATCTCTTCTGAATGTGTTGATTGGGGTCACCCAGCTGTGTCTTGATCAAAATACATCTGTTATCTTAAAGAAGCCTCGTCTCAAGTCTTTTTATTTGGCTTTATTGAGACTTGGGAAATAAAAGGTGCCATACAGACCCATCACGCCAGGCCTGGTTCATGCACAGAAACACAGATTGGTCTGGTGTGTTGTGCAAATGGCGCCGGGCAATTCTTTGAGTGAGTTGTGGGTTGCATTATTACTGCTTTGCACAGAATCGTAGAATTGTGGAGCTGAAAGGATCCATGAGGATCACCTGGTTCAACTCTCTGCCCTGTGCAGGAAGTTCGATCAAACCATGAGAGGTGGCTCTCCAGCTTCTTAAAAGCCTCCAGCGAGGAGAACCCACAGTCTCCATAGGTTGACTTTTCCACTGTGGTGCAGATCTTGCACGCTAGGTCAACATTTGCTTAGCCGTGTTGATTGTGTAACATTAAAACTGGCTGGATTCATTCCTCCATTAAGCCAAAAGCCTGCAGAAACCTGAATATGGGGTGAAGCCTGCCTCCATCTTCCCAAGGCTCTCCTTGCCCCAGGCCTCCCAGCCGCTAAGTTGCACTTTGAAAAGTAGAGGCTGCAAGAACTAGGTGCTCCAGCAACCAGCCAGACACCGGAGGAAACTTGACTTGCAGCAGCCCTGCCAAGCATTAAGACGCAGAGGGGCTGCAGAGCAGCGGGGTGTCCCCAAAAAAAGACTCAACGTGGAGCCCCTGCAGCCTGGTGTTTCCCAGTCTCAGGGTAGAGGGGGCAGGCCATGTGTGGGTGCAGACCAACCCAGAAGGGGTCTTCCAGAGAGGGGCTCACCAGCCCACCCTTGGGGGCAGGGGATGAGAAGCAGTAGTGCTTGCTGTGCAGTTGGACAAAGGCCAGAAGCGGGACCAGCAGAGGGCAGTCATGATGCATGTTTAAGGCTTGGTTCCGGGGTGGGTAAATTCTCCCAAGAGCATTTTATTGATTAAAGGGCTGGAACGCAGCCAGGTCTCCCTCCCCTCAGAACAACATCCCTGCTGTCTTCCAGGGGGTATTCCTCCAGGACTTCAAGGTGGGTTGCTGTCTGGGTTGTCCGTGGGGCAGGAACAGTCCTCTTGAACTGCTTCCTGCCAGGGAGAGCAGATCTCTGGCCCGGAATCGGTCCTTCGCAGTGAAATCCAGCCTCTGCTCGGAGGCGGGGCTGGGGGGGTTCTGAGGCATTAGGGCAGCTCCAGCATCCCGTGGGCAGAGTAGACATCTTGTGTGACGTTGTAGACTCGGCCCAGGCTCTCTACCGTGGTCAGGACAATGGCCTGAGCTGCCTGCTTCTCCTGCCTGGTGAAGATGATACGGTAGAGCTCCTGGCGGGAAGGCATGGCCAAGAAGGCCAAGGCAGCTGCATGTTGCACCCACCAGCTGTGGTATGGGGCCAGTGCCTCCCGGTAGGTATCCAGACACATCTGATAAGGTTTGTCGTCCTTCTGGCTGGTCCCCAGTTTGTGCAGGAAAAGTTCCAGCCACTTCAAGGCACGATGAAGGCGCAGCAGTGTCCGGCAGCCGGAGGGAGGCTGCGTGGCAGGCAGGGTCTGGAAGCCCACCAAGCCAGAGGCCAGCTCAAAGTTCACCATGGACTGCACCGTGCGGTAGTGGAGGCCATGGTGCCCATCCTGATGCTGTTGCATAATGGTGATCTTAGACTGAGTTTCCTGAGAAATTAGGCCAAAGGCGGTCCCCAACGCGTCCATAAACCTGTAAAGAGCAGCATTTGTTCCAGCCACTGGCTACCCTCTGGGCCAGCCTCCCAAGCTAGGGCCTCTGGTGCCCGGAGACCACCTCCCAAAGTTCCAGATCTTGCAGAGAGGATTCCTAGGGGCCCGCAGTTCTTAGCCTAGATGGCAGCGGGGCTACTGAGACACCAGTGGGCTTCCTTGGCAGCTAGTTGGCCACTGGGAGAACAGACTGCTGGCCAACTAGCTGCCCAAGATGGGCCAGGGATCCAATCCAGCAGGGCACTGCTTATGAACACACCTGGAGGGAGATGTGCTGGGGAGGGCTGGTCTAGAAAGCACTGAGATGGCCCCCTTCTCTTTCTAAAAGGAGACTACAAGCATAAATGCCAAAGTTGGCACAGGGAGCACATCCACAGTGGTCTATTTCACAGCCACCTTTGGGTCACTGAGGATCTCTGTTGCCTCTGTAAAGGACCCAAACAGCCAGCACAGCTTCTGCAAGAAATGGGAGGTGCCCTCAGGCAGAGGAGTCCCTCAGGGTGGGGCAGTGGGCAGAAATGGAGCAGATGCTGCTGGCCTTGGCGCTTTCTTAGGGCTCTTTCTCCAATTCCCTGTTGTCTTTTGGGAGATCTACTGGCCCAGATCTCCCAGGCACATGCGGTACTGTGTGAGAGAGAAAGCCAAGCTCCCCTTCGCCCTTACTCACTTGGTCAGCTGTCTCCAGCCGTGGAGGTATTCCCGGAGGAGGATTTCGCCCCTGGGGGTGAGGCTGTCTTTGAAAGCCCTTTGCACGTGCCTGATGTTAAACTCTTCGCCCCAGAGAGGGAGGGGTGTCTTCAGGGTCATGGTGGGGGCAGACACAGGGACATGCTACAGGCAAGACAAACAAGGAAGTCCTGGGGCGGAAGGGGCGGTGAATGGGGAGTGAAATAATTAAGGCAACCCCCTTGGGTTTCCTTGTCACTCTCCCCCTCTTCATTCAGTTTTGAGTTCCATTCCACCCCCCCTTACCGATTGGGAAATCACGGTTCTGGGGGTGGAGCCATTTTACGTTCCACGTGGCCAAAACCAACCCCTGCATCAAGGGCCCCTTCAGACTTCTGTCCGCCTGTCCTAACTTGCCATCGCCTTGACTCCAACCTCGGTGGGATTCAAACTGGGGGCCTCCTGGCTTCCCTGCCAACCCCACCCCCACTATTGGGCTCTGGTGGTTCTTAAGCTGCAGCAAGACCCCAGAGAGAGTTTCATCAAAACAGCTGGCAAGGTCCAACCTGGCAATGTATATGGTGAGCCAACCAGGCTTGCTCTTCCTCTCACCTCCTCTTTTTCCTCCTCCTCCTCGGGCAGCGTCTCCCCAAGCCAAGGGCACGAATGCCCTCCCCAGACACAGGCAGAGAGGGACAGCTCTGCTGCAGGACAGGAAGCAAAGTGTGGGTGAGCTGCAGCCTGGGCACGTCCCCCTGGCCCGCCGTCCCCAAGGTCCTGACTTACGGAGGTGCCAGCTAGAGAGGTAGAGCAGGAAGAGGAAGATCCCCAGGAGGAGGAGCAGGTGGCAGGGGCGCAGGGGAGCCCAAGTGGGAGCCCCCATTTCCAGAGCTGGCGCTTTGCTCGCAGCCAGGCCTGGCGCTGCCTTTGCACCCTGCCCTCCGGACTCTCTTCCGGGGACGTGATAAGGATGATCACGTCAGGCTGGGGGAGGGAGAGCCGAGCTGCGCAGCCCTAAGGGGGGCCCTCCAGCAGGGGTCTTAGAGTGGGCTTCTTTGGCCCTGTCCGGAACGGGGGGAGAGTGGGCCGGCTAGCGTTCAGGCAGAGAGAGGGGCTGTGAGAAGGCCGGGGCAGCCCAGGGAAGCCAGTCTGCCCTTTCCCTGGTTCGAGGGCACGAGGGATCATTTCTGCTCATGGCTGACCCTCAGGAGGGAGGTGTTGGAAGGGGAACCCAGGCGGGCGGGAAGGCTGCAAACACGTCCCTGTGGGAAAGGTTGCTGCTTGGGACTTCTGGGTTTGGGGGAAAGGGGTCCAGTAAAAGACTCACCTCCAGCGGGGGGCAGGGGGGGCTTTGCTGGGCATATGCCAGCCTGTGCAGGCCTCCACTCCCCCCCGCCTGTGCAACCTTTTTGAACCCCTCTGTGAGAGCAGGGCTGAAAAGCGTGGGCTCCAGTGTTCCTTGTCTGGCTTCCAGATCTTCCAGGCGTGACCCCTCCACCCTTTTTGCCTGCCCGGCTGATTGGGCTTGGCAGGAGAATGCATCCGGCGGACCTCAGAAGTGGGCACTTTGACAGCCACTGCCCCGCTCTGGAACCAGAACTGCTGCTGGCGCTTCCCCCTCTTGGTCTTTGGGAGAGCCGTGCCCCGGCTCCTCTATCCAGTGCCCAAGGAGGACACACTGCCGTCTGAGAGTTGAATCTGCCCGACGCATCTGCAGGGTCTTGATTCTGTATTTGGTTTATTTCAGAGGTAGGTTCCTTTTTTTATTTTTTGGGTGGGAGGGTTGCTGAGTGATATTTCTGATTTTTAGCCGCCCAGAGTGTTTCAGAAATAAAGCAAATGAATACGTTTGTGCCTAAAACTCCTGCATCTTCCCCCTGCCAGACAGCTCCTTGACACTGAGGTGGCTCTTGATCTGGCACCCCTTTGTTAGTGGGAGCAAAAACAGGTGGAGAAGGGGCAGCTCCAGAAACCCCCAGCGGATGAGGCCAACTTCTTCTCTGGGAGGGTCTTTCAGGGCAACATGGGGAGGTTAAGCTTGCGGGGCAGTTGTCCCCATACCACCAAATCCGTGGCTGGGGAGCCCAATGGAGGGAGGGCATCCGGGTGCCTGCCCCACTTGTGGGCCTTGTCCCGGAGGCCTGGGGAGGAACAGGAGGCCAGGCCAGGCCAGGCCAGGCCGAGGGCCTCGCACGAAAGTGAGCATCTTCAGGGCTTTCCAGCTGCGCCGGGGGGCTGCCAGTTCCCCAGAAGAGGGTCTGGAGGGCCTGGGCTTCATCCTGGCTCCGGCATGTCTCCCAGGCGATGGAGGCAATGTGATGGGGGCTGCCAGGGGCCAGGAAGGAGCACCCAACCCTGGGGAGCAGAGGAGAGAGGAACAGGCGCCTCAGGAGCAGGTCACCAGGGCCTGCCTGGGGCCGCAGAGCAGGCGCAGAGGTCAGGGGAGGGGAAGGCCTCGGCCAGACCTGAGACAAGGGCGAGCAGCCGATGGCCACGTTTGCTGACGGGCACAAAATAGGACCAGGATCAGGCAAGGCGCTTGCAGACAGGGAAGTGGCAACCGCAGTTCAGCGTCAGCAGTGCCGAGGGAGCAGATGGGCCCCAGAAACCCAAACTGACTCTGACGCTGACGCAGGCAGGGCTGGGGGGCCCTGCTGAATAACGTAAGGAAACCGTCAAGCCAGGCAGCCTTGGCAGTGAAATCAGGAATTGGAAATAAAACTGCTCATTTACCCTGCTCATCTGTGTAATCTGTGATGCAACCAGTCTCGAAATATCGTACGGAGTTCCTACTGAGCATGGCCCTGCCCCACTGCCCTCTGAAAGAGCCCTGGAACAGTTCCAGGCTCCAAGGCCACCTTTGTGCCAGGGATGAATGAATAAAAGCCAGGGCAGGACAGGGCATCAGACCTTTCAAAGCACAGGCTTCAGAGGCGGGCATGCCCTCGGAGCCCCGCCCCAGGAAGGAGAAGGATGGGCTGGCAGTGCATCTCTGCTGGGGGGAGAATAATATGTGCTTCCCCATCTCAGTGGACTGAAATCCAAGCCCCCCCCCTCAAGAAACTCCTACTTGACAGTGCAGTCAGGACTTGGCAAGCCCCCCGATGGTGATGCCATGCCACAAGGGTCCCCGTGCCTTCTGCCTTGATGGAGCTTCCCGAACAAGAGTGGCAAGGAATCTACTGAGGTCCCCATCCTGAGATCTCGCTGCAGCTCCTTTCCCACCAGTCTCTCTTGGACCCAGAGACCCAGGAAGGGTTCAGGGCACTGGCAAGTCCCTGACGCAGACGGTGCAGCTGCTCGCCACCTTCCTGCCTCCAGGGCCTCCAGGCTTACACTGAGAAGCAGGCCAGGAGGGCCCCAAGGGTCTCTCTGCTGCTCCGTGTGCTCAGAGACGTTGGGAAGCCGGTGGGGCCTGGTGTGGAGGGCTGACCTTCTGTCCTAACCGAGCCTCAGGCTGGGAGAAGCAGCTGGAAGCCCCACTGAGGTCCCAGCTTCTCTGAATCAGCTTTGCCAGTCAGGCTGAGCCACGAAGGAGCCAGGCCCATGTTAGCTGGCAGCGGAGTCTCCTCCGTCAGCAAGAGCCGTGAGCAAGAGATGCCCCAGAGAAGAGGAGGAGGCAGTCTTTGCGGCGAAATATTGGACCCTCCTTAGCAGGGGAAGGGAGGGGAGGCCCTGAGGCAGAAGCCCAGCTCTTGGGCAACTGCTTATGACTGCCCCCCCACTTCTTTAAATAGCCACCATAAACATCATCCCTATCTCATAGAGATCTTGGCCCGATCCAGCCCAGCGCAGGTTTTTGGCCTCAGCTACTCACAGGTTGTAGGATAAAACGAGAGGGACAATATTAAACTCCCCCACCAGCCAATCCATTCACTACCCTGTGTTTTTACGGAATTACTCTAAAAACGTCCAAACCAGCAGCTGTCATCTGATCTGATGATAGCCGTTCTGCAGGTGTTCTCCTGAGCACCACCTTTTCGGATCCTGATTAGTGTTAAGGGAGGGTTCCAACTCCCAGCGTTGGCAGAGAGGAAGGAAGAAAAGCCCTCCCCGCCACGTTTTCTGTTTTCTGCCCAGGCGAGGGCCCAAATACCTCCATTTGGTCCCTCCCTCCTGAGCTGGGAGGGCCCCCTGGAGCCCCCAGCCCATCGCAAGGCCCTTGGCTGCCCCTTTCGGACCTGCCCGTCCAGGAAGGAGAGATGGCATGGCCAGGAAAGGCAGAGGGCGTGGTGCCCCTGTTCCCAGGGCCCAGAAGGAGCGCCAGGTGGTCTGCTGCCAAGTGGGCCTTTGTCTCCTTCCTGGAAGATTCAGGACTCAGGGTTGGGTTTCTGCACCTGTTTTGTGCTGGTCTAATCCTAACTGGTTGAACCTGTCTCCACCAGGGGCACAGGTGGGATCCCAGGAGGTCATTTGATCCTGGCCCTCCAACCAAGCCTTTTGGCAAGAGGGTATATAACCAGAGGGAGCCACCTCCAGCCGGACACAGCTGGAGACCATGGCAGCCCTGAGGCTTTGGCTGTTCGCTGCAGCCCTGGCAGAAGCAGGCAGTGCCCCGGAAACCTGGCCTGTCATTGGGGTGTCCAATGGCGGTCCTTGGGGCCCCTGGACCTGGCAGGAGATGTGCCCCAAAGAGACGTACGCCACAGGAGTCAGCCTCAAGGTAATCTCCCCTCCCCTCCCCCTTCTGCCCGCCCTCCACCCGTGGCCCTGGATTCAGGTGGGGGGCAGCCCCGGGTCCCACTTGAAGAGACGGTTGCTGGGACAGGTGAGCCCGGGGAAGGAGCACGGAGGGTGTGCAAGGGGTGTCCTTCCATGGAATGCAGACTGACCAGGCCAGCTGAGGGAGAATGTGGGGAGGAATAAATGAATGCCTCTGGACACGTGCAGAGCAATTTCTTGATTTTTTTCCCAACCCTCAAATTAGTAGCCCCCTCCCCCATTTTCCTTCACTGTGAGCAGCTTCTGTTCTGCTCTGCCCCGCCCACGGCCCCCGCTCGCCTGGCCACCCGCCTCCACTCCCCAAATGGTCACTCCCTGGAAGCCGCCTGGCCAGAGGGGAACGTCCTTCTCCCCATCTTTCTTGCTGCCTCAGGTGGAGCCCTATCAAGGGCAGACCAAAGACGACACGGCCCTGAATGGCATCCGACTGTATTGCACGCATGGCAGCCACGGTGAGAAGTCTGAGGCTGAAACGGTGGAGTCGCAGAGCAATGTGTGAGTCAGAGCCTGGCTTGGTGGCCGCCAGCAGCGCTGCGCCCCCCTGGGGCCATCCAACGCCCTCCTCCTCCTCCATCCTCGGCCCCAATCCAGCCCAGTCGCATGTAGAGAGGAATGTTGCCTCCATGCCAGCTCTGGCTGCATTGTTCTGGCCCTGGCTTTTATCAGAATGGGGTCACAAGCAGGTATTTCTCTGCATTCGAAAAAGGCGCCTCCAGTGCAATGCCATGCCATGCCATGGGTACAGATCCGGAATGCACAAGCAAGGCCCTCCTGGGACCTTGGAGGGTAAGAACGGCTTCAGTCAAAAGCTTCCTCTCCCCAGCTAACAGCCAGAACCCGAAACCCAAAGGAGTGCCTTACTGCATTCAAGAGGTGGGAAGAGGAGAGGCCCTAAGTGGCTACTTAAGGGGAGGGGGCTGCCAGCGTCTTAATCAAACTCCTTCTTGTCTCTGCCTCCCTTCAGGTGGGGCCAATGGACCGACCCCCTCTGGTGCCCCCAGGGCAGCTATCTGACCGGCTTCTCTTTGCGGGTGGAGCAGGTCCAGCGTGGCATCCAGGATTACATGGGAGCCACCAACGTCCGCTTTATCTGCTCAGATGGGAAGATCTTGGAGGGTCACGGCCTGCCCTGGGGGGAGTATGGGCCCTGGAGTCCCTTCTGTAAGAAAGGCCTGTGTGGGATCCAGACCAAACAGGAGTCCATACGCGGGGTCCTGATAGACGATTCTGCCCTCAACGATGTCCGGTTCCTTTGCTGCAGACAGTGAATGGATGGGGACCTCAGGCCAGATCCCTGGGCAACTGAGTGAGTGATCAGAGTGATCGGGCACAAGCACAGAAACCCTGCTCTTTCCACTCTGTTTTAAGAGGACAGGATCCAAAGAGCTGTGCCCCACTGGCTCCAGCCCCTCATCTCTAGGGGCCAACCAGATGTCTCATGGGAAACCTGCAAGAGGCGGGACAGGGCATCCACGGGAATTTCCCCAGCGACCTTGCACGCCGATGGGACTATAGGGCTGGCCCACAAACAGCCCTGGGTGGTCTCCTCTCCCCCCTCCCCTTTCCCCGCTGTCCACGCAGCCGCCATCAGTGGCAGAGAGAGTTCCACCGCCAGCAGCCCTTCCCCTTCCCCCCTCACAGACTCCCAATGCCCTGGGGAGAGTGGTGGCACCTCTTTTGGATCCTCCCCCACCCCCCTTACTAAGCTGGACTCCTTTCTCTGCCACAGTCACTCTGGCCTGGATCGACCAGTGGGTCCTTTTCTGCCCTCCCCAGGCCAGAACAGCCTTCGGAGGAGGCAGGTGCCCACAGCTCTTCCTTCCAGCCGCGCCCACTGGTCAGTCAGCCCCTGCGAGGAAGAGGCTCTCCGCTTGGCTCCCTCCCTGGCTCCGGTCAGCAAGAGAGAGCCTCTGTGTGGCACCCGGCCTTTTCTCCCTGGGACACACTCAGTCGCCCGTCCCAGCGCCCAGCTTCCCCCAAGACCTCCCTCGGCGAGAACGGATGTTGCAGCAGAGAGAGCTGTTTATTTCCGGATCTTCCAATAAACCAGCAAGATTGCACTCCCTCCGGCTGAGAGGCTTGGGGAGGGAGGCAAGCGGGTGCAAGAACTCTGGCCGGTCTTTGCGGTCTCACAAGCCTTCCCCCTGCCAGAGAAATCGAAAGGGCAGCGCCCGTCACAGGGTTGCAGAGGAGGGTCGAAACTCTGCTCTGCTGAGCAGTGCTCGGCCTGCCTCCGGGAGGCTCGCAAACACCTCTGTGGAGTGTCAGGAAGCGGTGGGGGCTTCGCTTCCCCAACCCCTGGGGCCATTGGCTCCCCTTCCTCCCTGGTCCCGGGTCCCGCGGGGCAACTTACGGCACGATCAGTGGCCTTGCGGCAGTCGCCACACAGGGTCCCCAGGAGGCCGTTCACCACTTGCACGCCGCACAGCACCACCTCCAGCAGACCCAGGCCCAGCAGGATGGAGAACAGGACTATGTGCCAGAGGACTATGGAGGGTGGGTTTATGCACATGTCCCACAGCATCTTGTTTTGCAGATAGTTCTCACTGCGGAGGGGGGCGGGAGGCGGAGGTCAGGAGAGCCCAGATCTGGAGGGTGGGCCCAGAGAAGTTGCCCTGCTCCTGGGGGACAGACTGGCCCATGGCTCTGCTGCCTGGCGGAAAGCATGTCCCTGCCAGCCATGGGAGGAGTGGGAGGGGAGGGGCTTTCTGTTCTGGGGGAAGCCCTAGGGCCACCCCCTCCCTGCTCAGCTCACCTGAGATTTTTGAAAGGAGATTCCCACTTCTTGGAAGTTGTTTCACACCAGGGCCCATCAGCCAGTGCTGTGGAGGACACCACCACGCAGTAGATGGCCCCAAGACCCCCAAAAATAGAGCAGAAGACAGAGCGCAGCATCTGCCGTGGGACAGGGAAAGGGGTGGGGGAGGGCTTGTCCCCTCTGGCTCCTCGCACACAGACACACACACCCTCCCTGGCAGCACAGATTCCTCAGCCAAAGGGTGCAAGCTGAAACACAGAGGCCAGGTTCACACAACCTGCCACACGCATCAGTGTCGTACGGCCACCTGGCTATCGGCCTGACACCTTTTGTTTGCTGGTTTGGGACAACCCAGGTGTGTGCCGCATGCATCCAGCCTGAGAGCCCTCTTGGCCCTCGAAGGCCACGGCACAGAAGAGGTGGGTTTCTGGGCTGATTCCCGACAGTGGGCCTGAGTGGTGCCCGCATTCTCACAAACGATGATGTCCGCACCAGCAAACCATCTTCCGGGTGAGCCGAGGCTCGGTTGGGCCAACAGCTGGACCTCGAACACTCACCCCGACCCGCGTTAGGCCAACAGGTTTAAGCGCGAACTCCCCGCGGCCAGGCCCACTTTGCGGGCTCAGCGTCATGGGAATCCAGAGAACTGGGTTTCCGGGGAACACGCGTCGCATCCACCTACCCGGCAGCGATTCCCGCAGCACCCG